ATGGACTTTATGTTTGACAGTGATCGATTCAAGTGTGTCTTTTCAAGGTAATAGTAGCCAGTCATTTGAGTATATTCAGTCACATGACTTGACAGTCATACTTCTACTACTACTTCTAAGAATTTTATTAGGTATATGGGTTTAGATTGTAGTTTCTGCACAAATAAAAAAAAATATCCACCTCCAAAAACCCATAGAAAAACAAAGAAGTTATTTATTGTAATAAATAAATAATTATTTGCCAGGAGATTATCTATTATGTTTACACTTGACATGTCCTTTTAACCCTAAAACACAATGCGAAAATAGATAAAACACTAGGAAAAATCAATACGGAAAATTCCCCAGTACACTGGGCCCAATTTTTAGGAAATTTATTAATTTTTTTTTTTTTTAGGGCCCTAGTTTTATTTTCTTATAGTGAAGCCTTTTAAGTGCATTTTTAGAAATGTTATGCACATCTTGCATGGAGTTTCCATCCATGATTCTTTTTATTTTGTATATTATTATTATTATTATTATTTTAAATGAGTTATTGCATAAAACATGCTGGGCGGATGGGCAGAAAATGTAATTTATGCACCCATATACTTTTAAAATGTGTATTTTTGTGACAGTAAAGACGTTAATAATATTACAAAAGATTTCTATTTTAAATAAATGCTGTTCTTTTAAACTTCATATGCTTGTATGTAGTTTTCTTTAACACACATCTGCGCTGTTCCCATGAGAGGCCAGGAAGAGCTGAGGAAATAACACCCATCCTCAACGAATGGCCCGTTCCAAACACACTCTCTCTGGCTGGTTAAAGAGGGTATACATGTGTTCAAGGGATGCTGTGACTGAAAGCTATGAGGTTATGGGGCAGAAATGAGAGCAGGTGATCCTGGTCTGTGGTCATATAAGGAATGGACGGATCTGTGGCATTGGAGATGAGTGTGGGGTCAGTAAGTAGAGGAAGAGCGTGGGAATAGAACAGTGTCCAAAAATGTCTCTCTCCCAACCCTTTTGTCTGTGATTGCTCTCGAGAGCCTTTGCCCTGTGTGTGATGTTTATTCATTGACATTTCTGAGATGTTTGGACCACAAGAACATACTTCAGCTGTTGCATGGGTCGTCTGGTTATGGGCTCTGCATGTTGTTATTTGTGCAATTATGAGAGCGAATTAGCTGCAACGTTAGCTGCATATCAATTTAATTTCCCACACAGTAACCCTGGCTTCCTTTATAGAGTTTATGAATCCCATAAAACATGCTTCTCACCGCGTAGCTCTCACCACGCACACTATAAAATAATTAATGCTACACGGCTGAAAGATGCGTTCCATATGGAAATCATGTTCGGCTGATGTCTTGGTTTACATCCCATATCACTAAAGCAGTGCCCCCAAAACTCCTGAGTGTTATTGTAGCAGGCAGTCAGCGTGTTTTATTTCTGATTTATTTTTGTGGTTATGGAACAGGGAAGATGGGCGGTGTTCCCCGGAGGGATATCGGATCAGAAACTCATCTTAGAGTCCGGACTCGATGGGCTGGAATGTTAAAGCGGATTTGAGGGCATTCTGAAAACTCCCTCTGGATTTTATTCATGAATCATTTTCATATTGAGAGAAAAAAAAATGTATCGATCTGTTAAAATAATAGTTTGATGTGTTGTAAACTTGCAGGACTTCCAACATGGTGCAAAGCTTTTCTCAATTCATCCAGAAATCCTTAAATTTCACATGTCAGAAAGCAGCAAAACACTTTTAATTCCATTCATACAATGGCATTGGAAATGTGTTTTGGGTCCCACTTTATATTAAAGGGTTAGTTCACCCAAAAATGGAAATTAAGTCATTAATTACTCACCCTCATGCTGTTCCAACCCCGTAAGACCTTCGTTCATCTTCGGAACACAAATAAAGATATTTTTGATTGAATCTGAGAGCTGGATCAGTCCTATATAGACTGCCTAAGGGACTGGCTCTTGACGGCCCATAAAGTCATTAAAGAAAAGGTTTAAATATTCCATGTGCCTACAGCGGCTCAATTATAAGTTTATCAAGCGACGAGACTACTTTTTGTGCGAAAAAAACATAAATAACGACTTTATTCCACTATTCCATTACTTCCTTATGGGTGCATGCGCGAGAACTGAGACGAGGACGTTCTCATTCGTCTACTTCTTGTTACCGGCTGCTCACCGCTTAGGAGTTTTACCGCCCCCTACCATATAAAATGATGATCCATATATAAGGCGCTCTGGATTATAAGGAACACTGTCGTTTTTTGAGAAGATTAAAGGCTTTTAAGTGCACCTTATAGTGCGGAAAATACGCAAATTGAAAAGCGTATGTACAGCGCGCATCTTCCTCTGCTTGTAAACAGAAAGTTTTGCGCTTCCAGCTATATCAGCACATCATCTTATACGGTAGGGGGCGGTAAAACTCCTAAGCGGTGAGCAGCCGGTAACAAGAAGTAGACAGTCCCTTAGGCAGTCTATATAGGACTGATCCAGCTCTCAGATTCAATCAAAAATATCTTTATTTGTGTTCCGAAGATGAACGAAGGTCTTACGGGGTTGGTACAGCATGGGGGTGAGTAATTAATGACTTAATTTTCATTTTTGGGTGAACTAACCCTTTAAGTGGCTTTAAGTACTATGTTCTTTCATTGAAACAAATAATTTGATACAATGGACTTATTGTGTTTTTACATTGTACTTATATTTTAAAAATACCAGCATGTAATTACAGCTGTAACTAATTTATGTAATTACATCTGTAATTACACAGCTGACCCATCCCTTACACTTTAATCTACCCATATCACCACACCTGTCCCTAACCTTACCCAGAGATCACACCTCAATAGCAGCAAAAAGTGTTTTACAATACAACATGAGCACAAGTACATTGTACTTATTTTTAAATCCAAGTACATAGTACTTAAAGCCACTTAATATAAAGTGGGACCGTGTTTTGTATTTTGAAAATGATCATAAACAAATTCTGTTGAATAATGTTATAAGTTAACCTCTAAAAAGATATATGATGTGGTGATGGTCCCTTACAGAACAAATACGTCAGTATAAACACAGTTGAGTTTGGTTTGTGGAGATAATGACAAAGGGAGAGAAGACAAGAACAAGAAAGATGGAAAGAAAGCACAACAGAATCAGAAAGAATCCAGCTCTCTATATGATTTCACTCTCCCCAAGGTTTTCCATGGGCGTTAACAGAGCACCATGTTCAGTCCTGAACACATTCCTAATCACTGCACAAACTGAGGAAGGGCTTTTTTTTTGGTCAAGATTAAGTCTTTTTCTCCAAAAAATCTAAAGCAAATGCCTTTTTTTAGAAACATTAAGATTTTTTGCCTTTTTGTGAAATTTGACTCAAAGAAACTGGAAAATAATGAACATAAACAATAGATAATCATGCTCATTTGATCTGCAAGGTTATGAGATGCATTATGTGAATGCTTGGCTAAAGAGATGTGTGTTTAATCTAGATTTAAAGTAGGACCCGGACTTTATCAGGAAGGCTATTCCAGTGTTTAGGAGCCAAATGTGCCTCTCTTCCACCTTTTAGTGGACTTGGATATACTACTACCAAAATTCCAGACTTAAATGACCTTAAAGAGCATGTGATGGATTGTAGGGCGATAGAAGATCAATTAAATATACAGGAGCTTAATAATAGGTAACCAGTGTAGAGATGATCAAATTAGTGTGGTATGACCATATTTACTTGACCTAGAAAGAAGTCTAGATCTGCATTGTGGACTAACTGTAGCTTGTTTATTGGGGATGCAGGACAACCAGCTAGTAATGCATTACAATAATCCAGTGTAGAGGTCATGTATGCATCAGAAACTGATAACACGTTCCGTAGATTAGCGATGTTTCTGAGGTGGAAGAAGGCTATTATTGTAACATTTGAAAGACGAGTTGCTGTCTAATATTTGACCCAGTCTTATCCTAATTTAATAGCCATCCAATATTTTACATCTTTAACACACCCTGCCAACTTGAATAATTTTGAGATTTCATCTGGACGTGATAAAATATATAACTGAGTATCATCAGCATAATAGTGGGAAATAATTCCATGTTTTCTAATAATATTACCAAGGGGGCAGCATGTGTATTAAAAGTCGCAGACACTTGCGGCATTCCATAATTTACTGACGTAATTTTGGATAATTCCCTGTTTAAATAAACAAAATGATAACTGTCTGATGGGTACGATCTAAACCACCGTAATGCCTAATACCAGTATATCTAGGACTATGTCATGATCTCTATGGTGTCAAACGCAGCACTAAGATCAAGTAAAACTAGTATTAAGATGCAACCTTGGTCAGAAGCTAATTTTAACAAGCTCAGTATATGTGCTATGATGGAATGAAATTTTTCATAAATATATTTTTTTGCAAGAGGGAGCATAATTGAGCAGACACATTTTCTAGTATTTTAGACATAACTGGAAGATTTTAAATGCGTCTGTAATTTGCCCATTCATTGTATCTAGTTGTGGTTTCTTAATGAAAGGTTTAATAACGGCCTACTTGAAGGGTCTTGGGACATGACCCAGAGTTAGCGATGAGTGATACTGAAGACTAGAGTATTGATGCTGAAAATACAGCTTTGCCATTACAGAAATAAATCACGATTAAACGAAAGTGTAAAAATGTCCTTAAAATCGAAATAATACATCAGTTAAAGACGCGAGAGAGTGAGGTGAAGAAAGCTTGTCAGAGAGATGTGAAAACTTTATTTAGGATACACGAAAGTCTTCTGGCTGTCATGTGGGCTGAATGCTGTCAAGATCCTCTAATCCGCTGCCAAAGCTTACACACACACACACACATACACAAAGCTGACAGCCAATGAAAGTTCATCCGCGACAGCTACAACAGAAGCAGTATCAGCTGTGACTGTGTGAGCCAAGGTGACACGAGGCCTAACTCTTTCCGTCTCTTACTGGTGTAACATCTAACTGCCTCTGTGTGCAGGATGGCATATCGCCGGAGTGAGGAGGATGAGGAGGAGGCCGCTCGTGAGCGCAGACGAAGAGCACGTCAGGAGAGAATGCGTGGTAAGGAGAGTGAAGATGTGGCCTACAAACCTGAGACGCCGGAGCTCAACAACAGCCACAGGTAAAACACAGACACGCTCAGGTTTATAAGTACTACATCACTACAAAAAAATATATTTTTTTACTCAACCTGCGTCTGAATATGCCTACTTCTATGCTATATAGTAGGTGAAAAACAGTATGTGTGCTGAGTAGTATGTCCGAATTCATAGGATTCATAAAACTGGAGGCGAAAAGTACCCAGATGACCTATTAATTCTGGTGAGATGCTGAAGTGCGAATCCGAAGGACACTTTACTACGGTTGCCAGAGCGCTGGCGCACTGAAACGTTTTCTTTTTTTTAAATAGTTCAAAGTTAATTAAAAAATGAGTCGATACCTTTAATATGAATTATGAGCGTCAGCCGCTCCCATTCGGAAAAAAACTCCTGTGCTGACGCTTGACAAAAAAACGTCCCTCAGGGCTTTTAGCTCAACAATGTGTAGATTTAGAGAATCATTGATCGATTCTCATAGGTTTACATCATGTTTCTATTATTGACAGGAATAAAGTTTATTAAATTTATACCTAAATGCGTGGATCTAATCATTATGAGCACTGGACACTCATAAGTGTGTGGGCGGATCTCAGCGCTGTTGCTATTTTACGTGCGGGATAAACTCAAGTTTAAAAGGGGTTGGTCTGAAGTAGCTTCATTATTCATAGGTGTGGTTTGGGCGTAACGGGAAACAAACCAATAAGAGCGTCATATCACATTCCCTTTAAGAGCGTGATGAACGAGGTGCGCTTGCTCCATGGCGCAATACTATTATAACGGCGCATCTACCAGGCACGCTTCAGCATCGCTTCACAGCCGAGGAGATCGATGTTCTCGTCAGGGCCGTAAAAGAAAGAGAAGTGACATTGGGGATGGGACAAACACACCCAAATTATCTTCGGTTAAACATGCATATAATAATTTGGGTAAATGTGTAAGCTTTATGCCTATTTTTTCCATCGTCATGGTCATGGACACAACAATGATTTCCCTCGTGTCGCGCCGACCCGCCCAGGGAGCGCAAGTTAATTTACCGACATGCGTCTTTGTGTGGATACAAAATAGGAATGATACATGCGTCAGTGTACAAAGTCATTTGCGCCGGGTGCAAGATAGGAACCTGAGTACGAAATTCGCTTCCAAAATTTTCGCATGTTAAAAAGTAAATACCACCTCACGTTATGTCATTCATGCTTGCACACTGCCACCGAAACTTTCGTCAGTCATTAAAAAAATCGAATTCGATTTTCTGTTTTTCGCCTCCGTAGCAAGCACTTTGAATGGTGTTTTGACAATTCAGAGCCACCCAATCACGAATACGAAAAAAACGCATACGAAACTTTCAGACTCAATATGCAATGGCCTTTATTATTTGATGTATTTTTGCCTCTCAAGTAAATTTTCTTTATTTAAGAATTTTAAGGTCATTTTAATGGAAAACAAAGCTAATACCAAGAAATACAAGTCCATTTTTGGCAGTGATTGGACAAAACTCACTTTTTCTTGCGCCTTCCTTTATGTCTGTACTCTGCAGCTTTAGTGGGCGGCACACTAATAAATAACTTCCTGTGGCGGGTCAGCATTGCGGAAGCAGTGACATGTTCAGACACTGAGGCTTTGTGCAATGAATGGATACAGAAGATGGTCAAACAAGACCAGAATTGTTCTCTCTGTGTGACCAGACATAGCTCCATCTATTGTCAGTAGTGCTGACGCAGGGTAAACGTTTGCCAAGTGGTGCAGTCAGACTACATTAACCTACAGTGGCAGGATTATGGCAGTCTATGTCCTTGTGCACGCTAGTTATGCGGCCCTAGGAGTGCACTTTAAACCTCGCTAGCGAAGTTCCTCGCTATCAATTGAGGTTTTGCTAATAAAAAGCTAATTTAGGGTTGTAATGTTGGGTAAGGCCTAAATATTAGTTCATTATTTTGTTGATTTATTAAAGGGTTAGTTCACCCAAAAATGAAAATTAAGTCATTATTACTCACCCCCATGCTGTACCAACCCCGTAAGACCTTTGTTCATCTTCGGAACACAAATAAAGATATTTTTGATTAAATTTGAGAGCTGTATAACTACCACATTGGCTCCTAAGGGACTGGCTCTTGACGGATCATAAAGTCAATGAAGAAAATGTTTAAATATCCCAAGTGACTACCGTGGCTCAACTATATGTTTATCAAGCGACGAGAATACTTTTTGTGCGAAAAAACAAACAAAAATAACGAGTTTATTCGACTATTCCTTTTCTTCCTTGTAGGCCAGAAACAAGACTTCCTTAGATTTCCACGACGCATGCGCGAGAACTGAACTGAAGTAGTGTAAGGAGATCGCAGTTCTCGCGCATGCGTCGTGGAAATCTAAGGAAGTCTCGTTCTGGCCTACAAGGAAGAAAAGGAATAGTCGAATAAACTCGTTATTTTTGTTTGTTTTTTCGCACAAAAAGTATTCTCGTCGCTTGATAAACATATAGTTGAGCCACGGTAGTCACTTGGGATATTTAAACATTTTCTTCATTGACTTTATGATCCGTCAAGAGCCAGTCCCTTAGGAGCCAATGTGGTAGTTATACAGCTCTCAAATTTAATCAAAAATATCTTTATTTGTGTTCCGAAGATGAACAAAGGTCTTACGGGGTTGGTACAGCATTGGGGTGAGTAATAATGACTTAATTTTCATTTTTGGGTGAACTAACCCTTTAATAAATCAACAAAATAATGAACTAATATTTAGGCCTGATACCTTTTTTCAGGCTTTCCAGCCACTTTCCTCTAGATATTGCAATTGAAAAGCTAATATAGTAATATACTGTATTTTATGTATTGCTGTCTGTATTCTACCTTATTTTCTTCTTCTCCAGCGTTATGGTGACAGAGAGCGTATCCACCTCAGTGGTGACCTCCAGTGGGACGGGAGAGGACGAGGAGGAACAGGCCCTGCTGGAGCGCCTGGCTAAGAGAGAGGAGCGCAGGCAGAGGAGGATGAAGGAGGCGCTGGACCGACAGGAGGAGGACGACACCAGCCGAACCTCAGAGCGCAGTGCTGGTCTGCGGACCGGCCCGAGCTACGAGGCAGAGGAGGAGCACAACAGCAAGGAGGTGGAGAAACAGGTGGAAGAGGAGGAGGTGGTTGTGGAGGAAAAGCCACGGAGGTCTTATTTGAGAGAACAGGTGTGTATTTCTTGTTGAATGTTTTTTTTTATGGAGCTTTTCCACTACACAGAACCAACTCGACTCGGCTCGGCTTTGTTTGGTTTTCCACTGGCGAGGTTCTGAGGCGATACTAAAATGTGACGTGAAAACAATGCCGACTGCTGATTGGTCAGAGAGAATCGTCACCATTCACTGCGTCATCATTGTACGCGCAAGATGGAGTATCCAGAATAAAGGCCATTGCACACTGAGTACGTAATTTTCGTATGCGTTTTTTCGTGTTCCTCAGCCTAAAAATTCGTCACGCACAGAAACCTTGCGCACTGAGTCCGATGCGTATTTATCAAACCTTTGCGTGAAAAAACGCAAAAATACAAAATGGATTCGTCAAGCAGTGAGGATGATTTTGTTGTCCTCTCTCTTAAAAGAGAATAAAGAGAAAATATTATGTCCATCCAATCCTGAAATTGCACCGAGAGGAAGCACCTCCTTATCAAGGAGTTTCGAATTTATCCCGAGCAATTCAAAATTTACCTCAGAATGTCAGTGGAACAGTTTGATGCTTTGCTTTCGATTCTGGAGCCACATTTTAAAAACAAGACCACCAATTTCCGTGAACCAATCGATTCTGAACAGAGACTGTCAGTATGTCTAAGGTATGGACACACAGACACAAACACACACACACATACAACAGCTGTATAGGCTACAGGTTATATATTGTACCCGAATAATACATTAGTTATCGAATTGGCTGCTCGATCACACATTAATCGATCCGAAATTTCAATCTGATTGAAAGGGGAGGTTATTCCTTTCATAATCCAATCGAGAGAAGAGAACATAAACACTTGATCGAATTGAAAACTGAAACTGAAAGCGCTGCGCATATGTGCAATGATATGCGGAACGAGCTCCATAGACCGTAAACGAGCTCCCCCCGGCCCTGAATTGTCAAAAAACCTCTCAAAATGCTGGCTGTGGATGCGGAAAACGCAGAAAATCGAACCTGATCCGAATTTTTTTATGACGGACGAAAGTTCCGGAGGCGGTGTGCAAGCGTGATTGACATAACGTGTTGTCGATTTTTTTTTTTTTTTCACGTGCGAAAATTTCGGACTCAGTGTGCAATGGCCTTAAGCCCAACATTTTTAAATAGTTTGGCCAGAGATAGTTACTAAACTAACTACTATTATTATAGCAACTCGGAAGAATTCGCCGTGGTCAAACGAGGAGGTGCAGACTTTCCTATTTGTTTGGTTGCCGAAGAGAGGATCCAGCAAGAGCTTGATGGGGCAACGAGGAACGAAAGGCGTCGCTATGACGACCGGGTACTATTTGTGGCGGTACTGTGTGCAATGCTAAAAAGCGAGCCGAGTGGAGTCGAGTACTGGTAATGGAAAAGCGCCATTAAACCGCTTGCGTTTAAGGTTTGTTTATGGCATTTAACTTTGTCTACCTGTAGGAATCCGTTGAGGAAATATCTAAAATACCTGATGAGGTATGATAAGTGTTGTTGTTTTTCCAAAATGGCTTTTTTTTGGTCTCCTTTGATGCAACAAAGCATGTGACTGCAGTTCAATTCATAGGACAATAATGAGCAAGATGCTATGCCCGCTTCCGAAGTACGTGAGGTGATTTTAAATGAAGACTTAAACGATTCTGTTGTTTCGGGGACGGATGTGGAAAATGGCACAGCAGAACTCCCTGCAGGTGTACACGAGGAAAAGAGTGAGATAAAGGGATTGACAAAGAATGGAGTGGATGAAATGAAAGAGGCAGAAAACGTTGAGAAATATGAGATTTCAGAAAATGACGAGTCTTTGGTAAGAGATTAGTCGTGTTTTGAGGACACTGCATAAGGATGAATGCTTTAGATTTTGGGTGAGAAAAGTTTATTCGTAAAGACCTCTTGAAATCAAAGGTTTGGGACATTTAGTCTGTGCCTCTATATGCTAACCTTTAGCAAATATATGTGTTCAAGTAAGTCTTTTACTGCCTTGATTTCGCTGACTTGCTTACACAATTTCGTCGCTGTCAGGCGGACACCTTGTATCTCCAAAAGCATTACTTTTCGGGAAAAAGAGTGTTTTGTCGTAAGAACGGGCAGTGCATTACATTTCCATAAACTTACAGGTTATAAAGTTTAATATAGCTGTGGGTTCACAGTTTTTCTGTCATATGTAATGTTGATCTTCTTGACTTCTCAACTCTTCCAATACATAAAACATTAGCCTTTATATATAAAGTGTTTCTTTAGTAAAGAAAACCAACAGATAGACATAAAGGGTGAACAATAGTAATGATAAAAATGTCAAATCAAATGTGATACAAGGTTTCTGCCCGCCACCGGTTGTGTGATGCTGAGAAAATGATGTAGAAACAAAAAATGGCAATGCTAAAAATTCATTTGCTGGTGTTCTGCTATCAACAGAGAGGATTATTTATCATGTTTTGACTCATTGATGCATTTCATTTGCTTGAAGTGAATTTGTATCATTAAATGTGCCACCATGATCTCATTATGGTCAGGTTCAAAACATTGTCACCATTTTTTTTTATTTTTTATTTTTTTGCCATGGGTAGTTGGGAACTTTCTGAGTTAAATGGAGACCATGTTTCTATTTATAGAGAATATTGATGATTTGATTTTGTTCTAACAGGGATTGCCATTTTACCCATGGAAAAACAATACCTAATACAACCTGCCAGCAGTTGAAAATAGCAAATTGTCGATCAGGTAACACTTTAATTGAAGGGGTGTGCATGTGACAATACTCATGACATGACATTTAAATATGAATATGAAGGAAGTTGTATGCAATGCATGTTTGTGACAACTGTCATTAAGTGTCATTCGCTCAGTTATGACATTTTGAATGCAAATATGACATTGTTTAAGATGTCTTTGTTATGACACCTTGACATAAACCAATACATCACAACCTGTCAGTGTCTTTGTCATGAAAAAATGTCATTATTGACACTTAATGACAGTTGTCACAAACATGCATAAACTTCCTTCATATTCAAGACACGTCATGTCATGGTTATGAAGGTGTCATATCAGTCTTATGCACACCCCTTCAAGTAAAATGTCACCGTAGATCAATAGCTATTTAAATAAAAAAGGCAAACTCTTCAACTTCCTGTTTTAATTTTAAATATGAAATAATTTCAGGGGGTCTTTATTAGCTTTGGATAAAAAAAAGTCCGTTCATGTCTTAATATTTTTCAATACAGCCATAAAATTTCTTCCCCAAAATCCTAAATCACTCCAGGCACTATTTGAGCACAGTGTGTAGTGTTTTTCACCAGCACACACAAGTATCAGTGCATTTCACAATGCAGGATTAAAATCTGCTCAATGACCAGCGGATACACACACCGTGTGTTCACTGCTTGCTGCATGTCTATTGGAAGTTGATTGTGTGTGTGTGTGTGTGTGTGTGAATACACCAAAGGCACCCGCATTTCGTTCTTTCAAAACTCTCCCAGCGTTCCGTCTCTCTCTCACACGCATGCATGTCACATCCACACATCACTCACTTCTGCTTATGTGTGTACAGATGGAAGATGAAGATACGATGAGGAAGAATAAACAGCCAAATGGAGGAGTGTGTGAGGACAGCCCTCTCAAACACAAGAAAGCCGAGAGGACTTTCAGGTCAGTGCTCATTATAAACAATTAATGATTGTGTTAGGATGGTCCAGGCTTTCTTTTTCCAAACAATTTAGAGTTCCCAGAATTCCATATTTGGCAGCCTAATGTGTTATGCTTTGTCCCAATTCGCATACTATCCCTCCTAAGTAGTGTTCGAAATTAGAAATAGTGTCCCAAATCATAGTATGTTGAAACAAGTATTCCAAAGATACTCGGATGGTTTCTGGTTAGAATTCGAAGTGCAGATCCATGCACACTCCAACGGCTAATACTACCCACAACCCACTTGGAATCGATTAGAACTACAAACACGAATAAAAAGTGTTAAGAAAAACTACAAAAATGACGGATGTGTGAGACTGATAGTTAATTAGAGAAGTTTAAATAAAGGGTTTTTGTTGATAAAGTGATTAATAATCAGTATGTAACATGTTGAAAATATATGTATTCAATGTTATCCATATTATGTTTCATCTGCAACAGCATTGAGATACATTTGCTCATTCGTTTTTAAATGCATCATTATGCAAATACATGAGGAAAGTTTAATAGAATGTTGAGGATTTTAACAAGTTTCTTTTCTAAAGAAAATATTAGAGCCAGACTGATATATTATCGGCCGATATTAGGCATTTTCCAAACTATCGGTATCGCCATTTATAATGGCCGATAAATTAATTTCAAAAACAAAATAAAAACGGACGAAACACGCTTGAACCATGTCATGAGTGTTGGAGTTGTATAGTTTGTCCACCAGAGGGCACTCTACACGGTCCCTGTTGGCAACACTCGTTGAGTTGGTCACGATACACACATTGCTTGAATAACAATGAAAAGAACATCCCCATCAGTTCTCTTGACTCAAATAAGCATGACAGAATTTGTGACTATCATGTCCAGTTTTGCTGCAGTTAAATAAGCCGAGAGTGAAGTGGAATTAGCTAGTAATAGTTACGTTACATTGTTACAGTGCCGTTGACTGACTGTCCTTTAAACTTTTGACAATATGACTGAAGTATTTCTTTAATAGCACGTGACACTTCACATGACGCATCATCTCTCCTCGGCCTATTATATTGAAAATGTATATTTTACAGTTTGTAGTATGACGTCATCCATTGCTAAATTATGGCTCATCATAAACTAGCTAACGACAAAGCTAGCTAACGCGGCTATCATCAGTCTGTTCTGTTGTGACAATAAAAGAACAAGTTTCTTTTTAAAATGCTTTATCATATTATTGTAGTTAAAACTCATAAATAACTACAAATAACTAGTGTTAGGGAAATCTGTTAATGTTTTGTTGCCCGTTTCAAAAAAAAGAAAAAAAAATATCGGCCGATATATCGGATTTTAAAACCAACAAATATTTGTATCGGCATCGGCCTTCAAAATTTCAATAACCCTTCAATAACCATAATAACAATGAGTATCTCTTGTGTGCAAGTACAGGACGTTAATACTGATAAAATAATCACGTTCCACGTGTCCAGTTCAGAGCTTTGCGTGATGAGGTATTTGACGCTAGTCACCTGATCCGCTGTGTCCTGAGGGCTGTAACTGGAGACTGTGTTACCTTAGACAGGGGTGTGCTGCTGATTCGCTAAGTCTGTGTGTGAATAGGTTGGGTTTTGGATGTGTAAAGGTGTTGACAGACCCTTTAACCTGTCCTGTACGAGTGAGTATATCTGTTCGTCTGTGCGACAGCCGAGGCAGCTTACGCTCTCCCGAGGCGCCGGAAGCAGACGAGGCGGACGGCGAGGATGCTCGCTTGGAGGCCGAGAGGAAGCTGGAGGAACTGAAGAGGAGGAGGGATGAGATGGAGAGCGAGGAGTTCGAGAGGATGAGGCAGAAACAGCAGGAGGCCGAGGTGGAGCTGGAGGAGCTGAAGAGGAAGAGGGAGGAGAGGAGGAAGGTGCTGGACGAGGAGGAGCGGCAGAGGAAGCAGGAGGAGGCCGAGAGGAAAGCCAGAGAGGAGGTGTGTTCATTTAACCTCGATGATTCATTTCATGTTCAGGTAACAGTTTCACTGAAGCTGTGGAAGTTGCCTCGATTCGCTTTCCTGCAAGCCAAATTCTTAATGTCATCAAACCTAGGTGACTTCTGTAAACACCGCTTTAAAAATGATATGATCAGTAAGTCATGGAAACTTATTATTTTAACTCATCAAAATCATTTAAAGCAATTTCAACTTTTTTTATTAGATAAACAAAATTTAGTCATGTTGAGATGACTTATTGAAGTTGAAGCATACTTCAATGTTTTATGGATGTCCTTTGAGAACTGAAACCTCATATAAGTACATATATTTATATGTAGATAAAGAGTTCAGATGCAAAAGCTTCTAAGTGCCATTTGAAATTTTCTCCTAGAATGATCATTTTTATCAAGCTTGTATATTTAAGTTCAGTAATTTCACTTAAATGACTATTAATAGGTAATCTTCATTGCCATTTAAGTGAAATTACTGAACTTAAATATACAAGCTTGATAAAAAATGATCATTCTAGAAGAAAATTCCAAGGTTTTTGCATCTGAACTCTTCATATTTAAACCATATATACAGTCGGTTAAATATAAATAGTACAATTCAAAAGAAAGGGGTGAATGAATCCAATTTATATATGTATTCAACAAGTATGCATTGATCAAAATGAACAGTAAGGGCACTTTAAAATAATCAACATCAACAGTAGTGCCTACTACTATATATTTGTCTCATTACTGAAACAAATATTGACAAAAATAGTTGTCTAATTTAAAAAAACAATGATAATTTGTATCTTTAACCCAGTGTTTGTGTGCTATCTTTGAAAGGAGATATCATGTTGTTAGCTTAGCTTTAACTGTAATTTGATATTAGGCTTTGGTGTGAAATAACTGTTGTATACTCTCTCTCTCTCTCAATATTGAATAGTTATAATTCTACATAATTTACATGAACATTAGCGTGATCGCACCCAGTGTGAGTTCCACATGAGTTTCAGACTGTGGATCTCTCAGTAGCGGGCAAGAAACACAGGCGTCCCTCCTCGTGGAGGCCCGCTCCTAGCATTGTAATGCAAATATGTTTCTTGTTCCTAATGAACAGAGGCAGTAAATGAAAAAAGGACTAATTAGAGATTAGAGGGCCCCATGCTGATGCTAGCGGGTCGTGCCAAAAAAAAAAAAAAAACGTGATGGCTTCTTTATGATTTCTCGGCTGCCAGTTCACGTTACACTTGATTTTTGTTGTTCGTCTCATCATCATTCTCATTTATTGCTAGAAGGACATTGTCTGGGACGTGAAGATCCCAGATCGGTCTGCTGGTGGTGTTTTTGAATGAAGCATGCCAGTGAGGTGATGAACGTGTGTTTATTTTATTCTTCAGGAGGAGAAGAGGCGGATGAAGGAGGAGATAGAGAAGAGAAGAGCGGAGGCGGCTGAGAAAAGGCAGAAAGTGGAGGATACTGTGGATGGAGAGACCAGGAAGCCCTTTAAGTGTGTCAGTCCCAGAGGATCCTCCCTGAAGGTCAGCCGCCACCCTCTCTCTCTCTCTCTCTCTCGCTGTCCACAGGTGTCAATCACCCCACTGACTCGTAGGAACATGCCGTCCCTATGAAAAAGCAATTATCTGCCATATCTTGTAAACATAATGAGAAGGAGAACAGCTTGATGATTGTGCGTTAATGCAGCTGGTGTTCACTGAAGCATTTCTGTACTAGTTTAATAACCCTTTTGTTACCATTTTCCACCAAAGTACCATAGCTAGAGTTCTTGTTTGTACCAAAAAACACAGGTTATTTGATATTAGCCACCACTGTCGTCAGAAAAGGACATTTAACATGTAAGAGAAAACACCCTTACACCCTGATTAAGAGATTTTATATCAATATCATAATTTATATTATGATCACAGTATATTTGAACACATTTTCATTTTCTAAAGACATTCTAATGACAAGAATTAGTACATTTTCTAATTCTTAAATAATATTATTTAAATAATAATACTTAAAGATACTTAAATTACTTAAATAATATTATTTATTTAAGGGGTAGGAGTATATAAGTTTTACTTCTTCGTACTCCTTTCGCACATATAATAGATGTATGTCACCAGCAAAGAATTATGCATATATATTTTTGCGGCTCTTTTGTTTTGATTTTTTACGTTTTTTAAACATTGTTTTATTTTATATACTTTGTTTTTAAAGAAAATATAAAGTAATAATATAACATTTATATAATATAATAAAGTAATATAATATTATGAAATTAAACTAGTTTCCTTATACATAAATAATAATTGAATAGAATGCATCTTTTATAAATGTATAAAATATGCATACACTTTCTCTTATACAGTACATAATTCCTTTATATTTTATATATAAACAATTTATTATATATATATATATATATAAGCAATTATATATTATTTTATATAAATATATAAACAATTTTTATAGACAATTTATATATGTCTATGACAGCTTCCATACTCGCTTTTTATTTAACAACTAATTTGGTGTGCTAATAAACTGTGCGAATTAGCATCAGATGCACATTCTGCTAAAAGATTTATCTTTCCCTCCTATTTATCATGCAGATGATACGTTCACAGATCTGCTTTGTCATCATGTACACTGTATGTATGTATTGCATGCTGTGTGATGTGTTTGTGTGATTTTTAACCCCTGTTTTGTGGGTAGTTTTGAATGATAGTATCAGCCAGAATACAGGTAATTGATTGTTACAAAATAATAATTGACTTTTTAATTATACTGGAAATTCATTATTTTAATATCGATATTTGTATCAATGGTGCATTTGATGCTGTAAATCTAATTTTCGAATTAGTTCTCGCATGCTTTAGATATGGGTCAGTGGTTTTAAAGTCTTCTCTTCCCTTTGGAATCCA